GCTCCAGCTTGGTATCAACACTGGTGAGGCCTCATCTGGAATATTGCATCCAATTCTGGCCCTCCACTACAGAAAGGAGTGCATTGAAGAAAGTCCAGCAGAGAGCAACAAAAATGATTAGGGGGCTGGAGCACATGATCTACGAGGAGAGGCTGAGGGATTTGGGCTTGTTTAGTCCTCAGAAGAGTGAGGGGGGATTTAATAGCAGCCTTCAACTTCCTGAAGGGAGGTTCCAAAGAGGATGGAGAGAGGCTGTTCTCAGTGGTGACAGATGTCAGAATGAGGAGCAATGGTCTCACACTGTAGTAGGGGAGGTCTAGGTTGGATATTAGGAAAAACAATTTCCCTTGGAGGGTGGTGAAGTGCTGGGATGGGCTCCCTAGGGAGGGGGTGGAATATCCATCCCTAGAGGTTTTTAAGTCCTGGCTTGACAAAGCCCTGGCTGGGGTGATTGAGTTGGGTTGGTTCTGCTTTGGGCAGGGGGCCGGACTCGACCTCCTGAGGCCTCTTTCAGCCTGAGGATTCTATGATCATCTTCAAAATGTATAAGCATATTCTGTGCCATTATCTAAATCACTGATGAAGATACTGAACAGAACCAGTCCCAAAACTGACCCTTGTGGAACCCCACTTGTTACACCCTTATGCCCTTCCAGCATCACTGTGAGCCATTGATAACTATGGTTTTCCAACCAGTTATGCACCTAGTTTAATAAAAACTATATGAAAATACCATTTTCTATTAAGTTTTATAGGATTTCCCCCAAAGGAGGCCCTTTAACTGGAAGTTTAGCCAGGAAAGTTCTAGCCTGGTTATTAAGTTACAGACATTGAAGCAGAACAAAGCCATTGGCTGACTGCACCGGAGAAGCTGCTTACACACAAATTAACCCTTTCACACACATGTGCTATAGAATAGAGATAGAAATGTAGCCGTGTTCATTTTTTTAAATTGTATCCTTTGGTATATATGGTTGTGACAATTTTCTTCCACTATTTGATCTGAGGAAGTGGGTCTGGCCCATGAAAGCTCATCACCTAATAAACCATCTTGTTAGTCTTTAAAGTGCTACGTATGTGCTATAGACAGAGCCACCATAGGAGCAGTGGGAAGAGATGGCTTAATCTAGCCTCTACTGCGGGGTAGCCAAAGGCACTGACTCTCCAAACCACATACGACTATTTTCTATTTTCAGACGTTCAAAAGTCAGGACACAGCTGCCAGGGCTCAGGGCCCCAGCTCCATGGAGAGGGGGCCTCTGCCTCAAAATATCCCTCCCCGTTGGGCAGAAGCAAGAGGCAATGCAGGGGGTAGGGGACACTTGGCCCTCCATACACCCGCCTTCCTGCCCCTGCACTCTTGAACCCATTTTGTCATCCTGGTTGGTTGGCTGGTGATCCAAGGAAGGGCTGTCAACTCCCAGCCTGCCTGGGGCCAGAAGCGCCTGCAGTGGGCAGCTCCCTGAGTAACATCCCTACTTCAGAACAGGAAATCATCAACAGCTCCCCTGGGATTTGTGTGATGTTGCCCTCTAGCGGGGATCCAGAGTGCAAGGGAAAACCTGTCACTTCTAAGGCGACAGAGCCTGAGGCTTTGGAGCTAATTCCCTCTTCTTGTGGCATGTGCCAGACAGCGCTAGCATCTGTCGGTTAGAGCTGCCCAAAGCCAGGAGAGAGGCAAGCCTTGCTTATGTTAAACTACAGTAGGGATGTTAAGGACTAGTCAACTAGTCGCTTCCTCCCCCCACTCCTTTGCTGCCTCTATCAGATAGAGGCAGCAAGGTGGGGGAGAGAGGGAGGTACTTCCAAGCAGCAGAGTTGCATGGAGCCTGGGGTCCTGGACTCTGTGCAGCGCTTCCCCTTTGAAGTGCTGCCCTATCGACTAATCGAATAGTCGATGCAAAAATGCATCGACTGTTTGATTAGTGAATTACATGATACTTAACATCTTTAAATGACAGGAAGCTGCCTCCAAGCTCCCTGCTCTCCGAAAAGGCGTATGGTCACTTCTCACAATGCTCCACTCAGAGAGAAGCATGTAGCCAGTGTTGCTAGCTCACAGTTGCTGAGTAGGGACCAGGAGGACCAAGTATACAGAAGAACTGGGGAGATTATGAAGGGCAGGAGGAAAGCGCCAATGATAGGAAATTACACTTGAAACTAACAAAATCAGGTAGGCAAATGCTGCATATTACAACTCAACCAGCCAGCATTTCTCACGCACTCCCACTCCCATGAAAGACCCCCTCCCCCCCCGTAGGCGATGGCTTCAGAGTGCCCCGCTGTTCCCCCGCTTATCGGCATCCTCTGGTGAGAGGTGAAAGTCAGGAGCCAGATGTCCTCTTTGACACCTGGGCAGGAAGCTGCGGCCCTGGGAGAAGCAACCCGAGCAGGCAGCCAAGCGGGTTCGAACCCCCAGCTGGGGTATCAGGCTACATGCAGCCAAAGGCGATTGGAGGGGAAGGAGCATGTTGCGTGCAGCTTGGTAATGAAGCCTCTCGAACTGCAGGGCCATTTGCTCATATTGGAAACACATGTTCTTTGGAGGGGCGGGGAGAGGGAGGACACAGCGATTCAGACTTCCATGCCATCACTCGCAGTGAGAGAAACCAGAACATGCCATTACAGAGGTGGAGGAAGAGGGGCCAGCCCAACGTGTCAATGCCCTCCCCCGCACACCCAGAACGACGGACTTGCCATGGTTTCCTGGGGGGAGGGACGGGTACGCTGGAGCACATCCACTTTAGCAGCTCTTGCAATGGCACAGAGCAGTGCATTGTGGTAGCTATCCCACTGTGCAGCTGCTTTGTGAGGGTTTGCAATGCCACATGGGGCAAGCAGTGTCACACAATGCTCCATGGTCATCCTGGTCTGGCCTTTCAACAGACAGTGGGGAAGGAGGGAGAGTGCAACAGGGAGTGTGTGTATGCAGGGAGTGCATGTGTCCGCAGTGGGTTTTGAGGGCTGTCAGCATGCTGTCTTGTGACTTCAGACAGTGTCTGAGGCAGGGGCACCCCAGTCTCCCTCCCCAGCACTTTGTACAGCAATCTCTCTCATACACACGCCCCTGCCTCTGTGTTTAACAGCACGAGCACCTCAGCCATGCTCCGCAGTAAATCGCTCCACCTGCAGGCTGTGAAAGGGGAGATGCGCATGCCTGCGGGGCAGACAGCCGAGGTCCCAACAAAGAGCACAGGAGACTTGAGGGGTAACAGGCCACGTCCAGAGGCCAGTCAGAATGCAGCAAAGGGCTCAAGTGTCCACACTGGCCCCACAGTGCTACGTACCGAGCCCAGCGAGCACCACACTTCTCGCCGAGACGCTTACCCAGAGCGCAGCAGCTGCAGGGTTAGTGCGCACTAAGTGCCTGGCCGGCGTCGACACCCCAAGTGACAGCACTGGGAGCGGATTTACTGTGCAGTCACTTGCCAGCATAGACTAGGGATGTTAGCTAGTGGGTAACTGAATAGCTGACTAATGGCATGAATTCTTAGCAGTCACTTGGCTATTTGGGGGGCAGGGCCGGCAGCCAGTGCAGTCCAGCCCCCACTCCTGGGGAGCCCACTGCCACCCTACGCTTCTGCCTCTGTATCACAGAGAGCAGTGTGGGGTGCCAGTTTAAAAGCCAGCTTCCTGCACAGACTGGCTGTCTGCTGCCCCACACTGCTGCCTGATATAGAGGCAGCAGCAGCCCTTGTTCGCAGGGGGTCTGAGCTCCTGGTGGACAGAGGCTGCTGTGGAGGTGTGAGAGAGGGGTGGGGACGGGCTGTTGTTGCGAAGCCCGGGGTGGGAGGAAAAGGAGGGGAAGGTGGCACCACAGAGCTGGTGCTGGGGGGAACCTGCTTTTAAGCCAGCTGCCCCCCAGCACCGGCTCCTGCTTCCCCTCCCCCCTTGCTGCCTCTGATACAGAAGCAGCGGGGAAGGGGTAGGAATCAGTTAATCTAGTTGACTACTTGCCTAAGTCTTGACTCACTGGTTAATCACATAGTCGACTATTCCTTTACATCCGTAATGTGGACTTGGCCCTAGAGTCCTCTCGTGAAAAGGTCTTTTATTTTACCTGATCATCCCGAGGCACACAACTCCCTCTGCCCTCCATCCCTAACAGTAGGCTACCCCATGCTGGCAGCCCAATCACATAATCCAAGGACATCAGTGCCTTTGCAGACTGCACGTATGCAACCATCCCTTCTCCACGCAGGGCAAGTCATGCTGACAAGGACTTTGATCTTGGGATGAGACAGAATCCCTGGATTTTAGCTAACTGTTTAATCCGTCCATAGGGGAAAAAATGGAAACTATGCCTGCATGTTTGTTGCACCTATGCCTGGGTAGTTGTTTTGGGTTAACAATAGCAGCTACAGATGGGAAAGGGAGCTAGCTTTATTCATTGGGAATTACTGCATTCACATGTTAGGGTACGTCTAGACTACAGGCTTTTGTCGACAGAAGCTTTGTCGACAGTAACTGTCAACAAAGCTTCTGTCGAAAAGAGCGTCTAGACTACATTCAGTTCAGTCGACAAAGCAAGCTGCTTTGTCGACAAAACCCTGTAGTCTAGACACACCCTTACTTGTGTGGGATTGTATAACAGAGCACCTAGCAGTCCATGTGTGCATGCTCTGACATACAGGAAGTGACTAGAACTTGGCTAATCTGGATGTTGCATTTGCACCATGGGTGACTGGTTGGAAAATGTTTCAGAGGGGTAGCCGGGTTAGTCTGTAACAGGAAAAACATAAAAAACAACAAATAGTCTAGTAGCACCTTAAAGACTAACAAAACATGCAGATAGTATCATGAGCTTTCGTGGGCACAAGATTTTGGTTGAAAGAAAGTCCAAATACCAGAGTGATTTTGTACGTAGCAACTTCTGGGGCAGGTTAAAGACAGAAACAGCTAGCACTAGAGAGGCAAGTAGGTTCAAATCTTGGTCATAACCCTCCCCACCCCAATCCCACTTCAGTAGGAAAGATCATTCTCCTGAGGAGGTTACATACGCATGGCCGGTGGCTGGGATGAAGTATATGCAGCAGTGAACTCTGGTGTCTGGGATCCGCTTCTTCCGGTTCACATTGAGCTCCTCTTGCAAGTACTTCTCATACTGGTCATTGATGAACTTCATGATGGGCTGCCAGCTATGCAGAAAGTCGCACACAGGTGAGACAGGATTCATGTAGGGATTCTAAAACCACCCACAGGCTACCCTAAGGACTGGACCCTGAAAGGGGGAGTCAATGGGAGGATGGGTGCTCAGCGTCTTGCAGGATTTGGCCCCAAGTAAAAACACAAAGAATGTTTCATGCAGCAGCTGCAGGCAGCAAAGAAAAGAAGCCTCCAAGTCCTGTGTGAACAGGACTTTGCAGCCTCTCCCAGCGTGCTAATGGCAAATCTTGTTGTAATCACTTTTCAAAGGAGAAAAGTTTCTGGAAACCCTCCCAGTCCTGACACTCAGAGCAAGGGGAACCACTAGACTGCACAGGACAGCTGAGCTTCTTGGCTGGGAACTCTGCCTCCAGCACTAGGGGGCAGTGCAGAGCCCGCGACCCCTTCCCGTGGAAAACAGCTCGGCCATGCAAAGGCAGGCCGGCCCCTCGTGGCGTGCCTCCGGGGAGGGGCACAGATAGTTTGACTGATTATTTTCGCACCCATCCCCACAAGAGAGGTACATGGACATTCAGACACAGGGCTGCCCACAGCTGCTAACCTCCCAACAGCGCAGCCAGGCAGGGCTCTCCTGTCAGCATGACGGGGATGCTGGGGCTGAGCAGATGGGAGGCACCTAAGCAGTGGCAGCAGGGTGCTTGTGGACATTTCCTGGGAAACCTAGGGCCAAGCCTGGCCTTCGACCTGCTGAAAGCAGCACATCGTGCTCTGCCCCAGGACCGGAGGCGTGGGGGCCTGTAGCTACCCAGAGGGGCACCGCTCTCCCCATGCCATCCCCACATCATGGGGCTAGGATTTTTGGCCCAATGAGCAGGATTCCTCAGCTTCTTTTGGCACCTGCCCTGCCCATGAAGTGCCACTCTGGGGGTGTGGGCATAGAGAACAATGACTAACCCAAACCCTTTGCACTGGACCCTGCTGGGGAAGGAAGCTGGCAGGATGAGCTGGCTGCCCTTTGCAGCTGCTCAGCATTTCCAGCCTCTTCCCTGACAGCCAAACTGGCAGAATGAGAGCAGCAGAGCTGGGCGCTGCCAAGCCACACGGCTAGAAAAGAATCCACATCTTTGCGATGTGCCGTGGCCCATTCCATCTCCCAGGCCAAAGGAAGCCCCTGTTCTTCCATGAGGTCTGCCCACGGCAATTCCGCTGCCATGTTCCCCTCTCCTAGCTCCTCACCAGTTCTCATTGTTGATGTGATCTCCAAAGCCTGGGGTATCGATGACAGTCAGCTTCATACGGACACCTTTCTCCTCAATATCTGAAACAGAAACATTCAAGGGATGTTGTATGACGCAAGCAGAGACAGGCGCCACATGCACCTGCCCTACTACCAGAGATCTCTCCAAGCAGCGGCAGGCTTGGTCCCTGAATCCCTCAAAAGATACAGCATCCTATTACATCAGTGGCATTTCAACTACCTTCTAAAGAGACAACACAGCTTAGTTCTTTGAATAGCCCATAGAACTCCTCTGAAGCACGATACCTCGCCAGCAATCTCACCTTATTGCATTCAGGCATAGAGTCTAAGCTGGTGGATACAGCATAGCAGAAGCCTTTAGAGATCTGTCACCCCCAAACTACATGTGTGCCCACCACACTCACCATGAGTGATCGACTTTATTTCCACAGTTTTGGGGATCCGCTCTTCAGAAGTTGGCTGAACGGATTTCCGGCTGACTTTGGATTTGAAGAGTGTGTTGATTAACGTGGACTTCCCCAAGCCACTCTGACCTGGAGGACAGAGAGAGTCAGAATCAGAGTAAGAACTGACTCCTTGTTACCTTTATGGGATTCCCCATCTCCACCATGCATCAAGAACACCATCTGCTAGCTAGGGTGAGGCCAATTCCACAGGCAGCAGCTTTGCGCACACCTATAGTTTTTCTTGGAATACCATCTTGGAAGTTCCTTTTCACACGCAGATGCTGCATTATTGGCTTGGGTACACGTGTGCTGGCACCCTCTATTGGAACAAACATTTCAGAATGGCTCATGTTTTGCTGGTTCCTGCAGCCAATTAAGCACAGTCTGTTCTGACAAGGGAAGGCCCTTTGCTTGTGGGTGTGAATCATTGGAACTGCAGCTCCAAGAATGCTTTCACTATTGAGGCAACACACTTAGGCCTAGTCTACACTAACCCCCGCAGCCAATCTAATCTACGTCATATAGTTACTGCAGTGTCTGGTGTGTGGTAAGGTTGGCAGGGGATGCTCTCCCGTTGATGCTGGCTACTCTTCTCATCCTGGAGGAGTACCAGCATGGCCAGAACACACAGATCAATTTAGCACATCTAAGCAGACACGAGAAATTGACAGCCAGTGGATCAATTGCTGCAGCATCAACCCCTGGTATAGTGAGGACAAGCCCTTAGAAACATCTTCCTCTGGGATCAATATACATCTCTATTCCCTGGCCCTGTTCGGAGTGGAACACGAAACCTGTGTGTTTGAAGGCACTGAATGGAGTGGGTGGAAAGTGCTAGGGTCCGACCTCACTTTGAGGGTTGTCAGACAAGTGAGACAAGCTTAGACTCCAATATGGAGTAGGGATGTAAAATCCAGATTCATCAATTAACTGGTTAACTGTTAAGCACTGGGACAGCCCTCCACCCGTGACACGCATGGGCGGGGGCTGGTCCCAGGACACTAGTTAACCGTTACCTGGTAAGCATCACTTGGTACGGGTGATGTTCACTGGGTAATGGGTTAACCTGTTACCCGTTCACATCCCTCACATGGAGCAAGATCTTGCTTGGCTGAAGATGCGCTAGACAGAAAACATGGCCCATTTGGACACAATCAGGCGAACTCACTGGGAAGCATGTGACTAGCTAGTTTGTCAGTAAGCTAAAGAGCAGCAGCTCTCATGACCCAACCCACCAGGGTAGAGATACACAGAACACCGAAGGGCTAATGCTACAGGAGCCATTTACAACCTTAGCTAACTCAGAGAGGGCACACAGTCATCATGAGTTATTTGCTGCCTATGAGGGTGCAAAGACCATTTCTCTGCTATAGAAGATGGGAAACAGACCAGAGCACCCTCTGCCATGACCCCTTCAATAAAGGGGCTTCTCTCACACATGAGCTGCATTATTTGCAAGGCTCCCTCCACCTTTATCTCAGCACATACAGTTTAGAGAGTCCTTTTTAGTATCTTATGTTTTTGATCATCCATCATGATAGACAGCTTCCCCCAAGCTCTTCAGTAAATCCTGCCAGGGACAGATACTAATGATCCAGACCAGGGCTAAAACACAAACTGGTGGTTTATGGCTGGGAACACAAAGGGGAATAAATTAGATCTGAGGATTGATTGGCTTTTTCAGCTAAACTGATGAAGTATCAGCTCTGGCCCCAGAAATCAGCCACATTTAACAGGACCAGAGGTCAAAGGTTCTCCTAAGGACCAGATTTAGGCAGCATGTGGTAAATCTATCTCTGCTGTTTAGATCAGTGTTCCAGGAGAAATAGCACAATGTTAGAGCTAGAAAACCCCCAGGAAAAATGCTGTTAGTCCCACCTCAGCTAAGGAGCAGGGCCGCTAGCTTGTAACTGCAAGCCTGGGAAGCTTGCAGAGTACGCTGTCAGAGCTCCCAGCCTCTGATCCACACTCACCCTGCACTTCCACACCTACCCTGCCAGGACCCAGAAGAAAAATCAACCCTCTCTGTCATTGCCATGCATCCAGGAAGCTCACAAGTCCCAAAAGCTTTGCCACTGGTTTGCTTTCCCATAGTCTCTCCCCACTCACTTTTAGCAGCACCAAGAAGAGGAAGTCTAGTTTTTGTCAGTGGGCAGAGCAGCTACAGGTGCAAAACACAAGGAACAAATGCAGATCAAATGTTCTGTCCTTTGCCAGGAGTTTCATCAAGTAATAGAAGAGTTAACAATGAAAGCTAACTGTAAACAAAATAGGCTCACCTAGACATTCTATTTGTGATCTTGTTAGTTTTTCCCAGATGGTTCTAATTAAGAGGTGATACATCATTGCAACCTGTGCTGGTCTGTTCCTGCATCTGCAACTGTTTAATTAGCTGGAGTGAAAAATGCTAGAGAAGAGCAGCTCTTGGGAGCTGCAAACAAAGAGACTGGAATTCTAAGCTTTTTGGCCATCTCTGGTCAGTACATATGATGCTGATTTTGTTCAGGAAAATAATTATTTTGCAGCTTCTTAAATACCCAAACTGAGTAAGAAGTCATTTTCCCATCATCCTTTTTCTGGTTGTATCCACTGTAGGGGCAGGGATTACAGGGCTAAATTAGTTCTGGCAAATCCAGACCCATGACTTAAACTCCTCTACAAATCTGATGGATTCTCCCACTGTACTGTTGAGGACACTGATAGTGTCCACGGAGGCAATGATCTCTGAGGGTATGTCTACACTAGCCCCCTAGTTCGAACAAGGGAGGCTAATGTAGGCATTAGAAATAGCAAATGAAGCCTGGGATTTAAATATCCTGGGCTTTATTTGCATCTTCCCGTCCGGGCGCTATTTTTAAATCCCCCTAGTCTGAACTAACTGCCCGTGGCTACATGCGGCAGTCAAACGTTAACTCAAACTACGTCCTTAGTTCGAGTTAACTGTTACATCTCATGGAATGACACAGGCTTCCTGTGTAATTCTGGGCAAGTCACTTAACTTCACTGCCTTTCACTTCCCCAACTGTAAAATGAGGATGTAATAGCTCCTTTCTTTGCAAGTGCTCAGATGCTAGAGTGGGGACCATATTATACCCTAGAGCAAGAGCCAGCAACTTTTCTGAAGTGGCGTGCCAAGATTTAACTTTCCTGCCTGGTTGTGCCATTCTCCTGGGGTGTGTGTGGACGGGCTCTCTCCACCGTGCGCCCCATGGACCACGTGGATCAATGCAAACCTTTCCATCAATGCAAACTACCACTTGCTAATGGAAACTTGCTGTTAACTACATAATTACATCCAAGCCATTTTGCAAGTGCTGCAGCTGAGAACGGTTTAATTTAAATTATTAAACAGATTGAGCATTTTAATTTTATCATGTTAGTTTATCAAACTTCATTTTAAATAAAGTAAAATATTAGGTCCAACACAAAAGATTTCATTTTTTTAAATGTAGTAAAGGGGTGGGGAACCTTTTTTGGTTTTGGGGGTCACTGACCCACAGAAAAATCAGTTGGGGACCACACAAGTGTGAAGCAAAAAAACCTCCTCCCCAAGCCCCCAATCCTCACTAATGTGGTCCCAAACTGAGACTCCTCACTCTTCTGGCACTCCAGCCCCCAAAGGGTGAGGGGAAGGGATGGGTATATTCAGGCTTAGGGCTTCCCGCAGGCAAGATTTAGGTTTAGGGCTTTCCACAGGCCAGATTTAAATTTCTGGGGTTCCAGTGTTAGTGGATTTTGTGAACCCCCTTAGGTTCTAGGATGGGAACAAAAATGAAGGGTTCAATGCGCAGGACAGGGTGCCAGCAGGTAGGATCTGGGCAGGAGATGGGGTGCAGGACTAAGTGAGGAGGGCAGGGTCTGGAAGGGAGTTTGGCAGCAAGAGAGGGGGTGGGGGTACGAGAGGGAGAGAATGCAGAAAAGGTCAGAGGGTGAGAATGCACCAAACAGCCAGCTGGGGAAGAAGGCAAAGAAGTGAGGAGAAAAGGAAAGTGCAGCTTCTGCAAAGTAAAATTGTATCCCCGCTTACATCTTCCCTCTGCTCCAGCCTTGCTCTCCTCAGCCCCATGATTCCTCCAGTTTGATCCCCTGCCTCTCAGTGCATCCCATTCTACCTCCCATCCTGCCCCTGCATCCTCTCCCCCCCCCCGGCCTCTACCTCCCTGTGCCCCAGCACACTCACTGGTCAGGCAGCTAGGGTTGCCAGACGGTTTAACCAACAATACTGAACACCCCACCCCCCCAAAAAAAAACCACTGGGAAAAAAATTCTGTTGACAAGGGGGAGACCAAAGTTGTTGAGCAAAAAAGTCCCTTCCCTGCCAGCCCAGCCCTTTGCCTGCAGCTCAGGGGCAGGCAGAGCCTGAAGCTGCCCAGGGCTAATTCCAGCCTGGTCAGGGACACTGGGGAAGGGACTCTCCACTCCACCCTACCACCTCCCCCCCAGCCCATGGGGAGCAGCATGGCGCAGCCTGGACCCTGGTGCACTACATGTGCCTGCCACCCAGCCCTGCCCCTACCTGAAGCAGGAGGTTGTCCCCAC